GGTTCCGAATACATCAAGATACCAAATCATATAATGTTAATTCGTCTCCTCGGGCCCACCAATAAAAATTGATAAATGCGCCAAATACACGTCAAGCATTATCACAAAACATCCTCAATTAGAAATCACGACTTTGCAATTCTCCACGCAAGAAACCAAATAATGTCTCCACGATGAATCCAATATCTCCACGAGCAAATCAAATATCTCATCGAATTAATCAAATAATACTCAACGAATAAATCAAATATTCTTCTCAAATAAATCAAATAATCTCCTGAATAAATCAAATAGTCCCTAGAACGAATCAAATAATTCTCCTCGAACAAATCGAATATCACCACGAATGAATCACATAATATCTCCTCAACCTAATTAAATAGTGCTCCACAAATAACTCCAATATTACTCCATAAATGAATCAAGTAATGCTCCACAAATAAATCAAATATTCTCCACGAGTAAATCAAATAATACTCCACGAATATATCGAATAATACTCCATAAATAAAGCAAATATTCTCCACGAGTAAATCATATAATACTCCACAAATAAATCAAATATTCTCCACGAGTAAATCATATAATACTCCACGAATATATCGAATAATACTCCACAAATATGTCAAATATTGCCTCCAATTTTTACCAATTTAAAAGTCCTTTGAGCCCATAATTTAAATAAATCGCATACCTTTATCACGAGAATTTATCTCAAATTACCTCAACTGGGCTCAAATCGGGGATATTTGTGCTCCATGGGCCGCAATGGGGATGATAAACCATAGAAAAATGTCTTTGGGTCGCCAAAAATATCTCTGCGCCGCAAAAAGACGATGCTGGGTCGGGCTAAGGGGCAGCAGGGGCGAGCTTGGGCCGCTCGCTGGGCCTGGAGCGGGCTCTTCGCGGGCCGATTGCTGAGGGAGGCGCGGGCTGGAGCGCGGGCTAATGGCGGGCTCTCGCGGGCTTCATCTGTGTGAGGCGCGGGCTGGGATATAGGCCGACGGGGGCTGGATGCGGCCCGCGCACTTTCCTTCTCCTCCTGCTAGGCTCCGCGCGAAATGGGCCGCGGGATACGTTGTTGGGCTGACGCTTTGCTGCTGGGCCGCGGATCTCTAGGGATGCGGAGCGCGGGCCTCCTTGCTGGGACATGGGCCGCGGATATCTAAAGCAGCTCCTCCTCAACAGCTGCGGTGGTCGATATGTGCACAACAGCCACGGACTTGCCGGAAAAGAAAAAACGCCGAAGAAGGTTCACTGGCTCCGGGAAAAATCACCGTCCGTGCGCGCGCCTCGGCGAGGCGACTTCATTGGTGCCCTCAGTTAAGAGTTGTTCGCCGAAAGTCGTCGGGAAATCAAGGAAGATGACCGGAATTTGACCAAATTTCTTCTAGATCTACAAACTTTAACCGGCAAATCGACGGCCTTCCCGGAGGCGTTTCCACATAAAATTTTAAGGGTAGAACGAGCACGAGGACAGCTTCGCGATGGTGTAAGAATTTTTCAGATCGGACAACTTTGGTAGGCGGCGGAGGCGGCGGCAGCGGCGGTGGAGTCCGGGATTCTGGAGATTCGTCTCATCGAGAGGATTCCAATGGTACCCTCGGATTTTCCATAGCCCTCCCGAATCGTCGGGAAAATGCCTTTGAATGTACGATTTTGACCAATTTTTTGCTAGATCTGGAAACTTTGACCGCAAAATCGACGGCCTTCCCGGAGGAATTTTCGCATGAAATTTTAAGGGAGATTCTCCTTGAGGAGATCTACCCTATGACACCAACAATTTTACGATCGGAGAACATTTTCCGACGACAGGTGGCGGACGTGGCAGCCGGCGGCCGGTGGAGATGAAGGAGATTGCTGGAAAAATTTTGAGATTTTTTTATCGGAACTCCGTTTGGCTTTTTGAACGGGTTCCCACATACGGCGCCAATGAAGTGAGTAATATTTCACCCGGGCTCCTTTTTCAACTCGAACGGCCACTGGACCTGCAAGAACCCAACGCTGGAAGGGGTCCCGGCGTCGGGCCTCCGACGCTCAAGTCAGTATCACTCCAAATCCCAAGAGTATGATTATGAATGTAGAGAGTATGAGAGAATGAGATACCTTAGCCCCCTTTTATAGGGGGAGTGTACCATATGGCCCAAGTTGGGCTTGTTCAATAGCATCATGCCACGTGTCCTAGCCATGTGTAGGATTATTCTTCAATATATTTCCTTTTTGTCCATTAAGACTGGTCTAGTATATAATATCCTATATCAATATATAAGCACAATATATATTCTAAGTACTTAGCTCAATACGAAAACCCGAATCTTATTATCTGATCTGACTAGGTTTGCTCACTTGGTTTTAAAATCATTTAAAACCCATTTTAGAAATTTACGAGGTGATACGAAAGAATTATTGTCTTAAGGCATACTATAGTTCTCTAAAATATTTTGTAAGTCTAAAACTATTCTCAAACTCAATCTTAAATCTGACTGGGTCTAAACTGACTGGATCAGAAAACTGGAATCTCGGTTCACGCTCAAACCGTTGTTCCGAACTGAACTCCCGAATAGTCGGGACTGCCCAGACTAATTCGACTGAGTTGGGATTCTTTCGAACTGTCTGGACAGATTCGACTGGACTAGAGCAGCGACTCACTCGGAACCGACCGATCATTTGCTTGGCTATGTGCAACTCAGCTTGACCGTGGTTCGGGTTCTACATGAAAACTTGAGCCTGCACGAACACAGCTGACACAGCTTTCCCGATGCACGGGTTTGAAACGGTGCCACGGTCACTGATGTAGGGGCGTGCTTGGACCATGGCCAATGGAAAATGTCGCGTTGACGGTAGATCGGACGAACTCGGTGTACAGGCACACACTCGGTGGTTCGACTCGAATCAGTGCACACGCACTCGGTGGTTCGGCTTCAATGGTCGGACGAGGTTCGATCACGTGTTTGGGACGTCAAAACGCGTTAAGGATACATGCTAAGGCACGTCGGTTGGAAAAATTCCGATAGCTACGAGGTACACGACCTCGAAAGCCTTCTTACGTTCGGTTATGATCCCGTCGACGACTAACCGGCTGACCAACCACATCCCGACACCCAAGGACTCACTTATAATCTTATGGAGTCTAAAGTTGTTTAAACAGTACTAGGGTTCGGGTGGTTAATCTCGGATCCAAAATTTACCCGGTTATCGGAACCGGATAAAACTAGGATTATCAATCTCCGAAAATCCTAACTCATTTTAAGTCGATACTTAAACCCTAATTTCTATATTATTTATAAGGCATTTACAACCCACATCTGCAGCTAAATCACAACCGGAATAATTTCTAAAAATACAGAAAAAATGAGGCTAACGTCCCGAATTTTTATCTACATCAAACAATCTCTAAAAATCATGAAATTTAACCACAAAACCTTTAGCACATACATCCAGCCCTCTTTCCTAAGAAAGAAGTACTGATTGAGATAGGCTACTGGATTGGCTGCAAGAAAACGTATAAGAATCGAGCATTTTTGTTAAAAATATCAAAGCAATATTCAGCCCCTAACTCAGATAACAAAAATCAGGTATTATCGGTCCAAATTCATAAATCCGGTTCGGCCATCACATGAACTTCAAAATTTACTAAATTTTATTCTAAGCCTCAAGACTGCAAAATAGGATTTATCAAATTGGTTTCATAATTTTTGGGTCAGCAACCAATATATATTGAATTTATATCATTTAATCTCAATAAATTCATATAAAATCATATCTCACTCATTTTTATCATTTCCCATTTTTAAAATTAACTAAAATACTTGTCTAATGCCATGAAGTTGAGTTTCAGCCATTATACCTCATAATGGTTTCAAAATAAAAATAAAAAGATGCTAAAGCTGTGGTCGAACTCGTGGCTATGGATCTGGATGCACTGGCACGGGAAGGCGCGGATCTGCTATGGCGTACGGAACGCTAGCGTACGGAAGGACGGGCGTGCACTGTTGGGCAATGTACGGAGCTGGGCGCCGGCGTACGGACGCAAACGTGGCGTGCCTACGGAGGGATGGCTGCAGGGCTGCGCGGCGTGGACAAGGCTGGGCGCTAGGGGACCTAGGGCGCGGCTGGGGAGCAGGGACTCGTGCTGGCTGGCATCGGCTGGACTAGGGCTCACCGACAGCCGGAGTTCTTGCCGGAGGTGGCCGAAATCTGACAGAAAAAAAGGGTTTGGCCAAATTTTTTTTGCATTTTGGACTTAGAAAAATTATATTTTTGCTATGGAAATTTCCAAATCTTGAACAATGAAGTGGAAATGTAGATGAAGATAATTTCTAGCTAAGTTAACTTGTAGATCTAGGGTTTCATAGAGTGTGATGAAGATGAAGAGGATGGTGGTGTGCTAGGAGAAGTTATATTTATAGTAATGTGAGAGAGTTAGGGTTTATAATGTGTATTGGGCTTAAAAATCGGGCTTGACTTGGTACTGACTTGGGCTTAAAACAATTAAATGTCGGGGCCTTGGACTAAACTAATTGAATGGCCGAATAAATAAATAAAGATAATGCGCTCGATTAATTGGGCCCGGAATAATTGGGCTCGAATTATTGGGCCGGGTAGATAAATATTCGGTCTTTGGCCCGACTTAATTAAAATTTTGATTTTTCCAAAGCTCGGTTTTACCTTAAAAATAAAATCGATATTTGTGCTTAATAAATTTGATTTTTAAATTTAAAAATCGAATAAATTCTCCATGGCTCAGACTTAAAATTTAATACTCGATTTAATGCAAATAATACTAGATAAATGTATCAAATAAGGAAACTTGTTATTTATGGAAATAAAGCCGAGCTCTATAAATAGTAAAAATATTCGATTCGTTACAATCTATGCTCCTTAAAATATTTTCGTCCTCAGAAATGCTGATCTAAGGTACTAGTTCAAAACGATAGGCTAGTCCATTAACCTTGACTAAAGCTGGGAAGGTTGGAGAACTAGGCTATAATTCTTTTGCTATGGCGGCATACCTTGTCAGGCTGATCGGGTTCCACCCGATTAGACAAGATTTACCATACACTTTGTTAGGCTGATCGGGTGTTGTACGATAAGACGAAGGTGTTAACTGTATCAGGCTGATCGGGCTTGCCCGATTAGATAGGGTCTGTTGTACGCTTCATCAAACCGGTCGGGCTTGCCTGATTAGACGAACACGTCTACCTTATCAGGCTGGTCGGGCTTGCTCGATTGGATAAGGTCTGATGTACGCTTTGTCAGACTGATCGAGCTTGCCCGATTAGACGAACACGTTTACCTTGTCAGGCTGATCGGGCTTGCCCGATTAGGTAAGGTCTGTTACACGCTTCGTCAGACTTATCGGGCTTGTCCGATTAGACGAACACGTTTACCTTGTCAGGCTGATCGGGCTTGCCCGATTAGGTAAGGTCTGTTATACGCTTCGTCAGACTGATCGGGCTTACCCGATTAGACGAACACGTTTACCTTGTCAGGCTAATCGGGCTTGCCCGATTAGACAAGGTCTGATGTATGCTCCATCAGGCTGATCAGGCTTACCTGATTAGACGAATGTGTTTACCTTGTCAGACTGATCGGACTTGTCCGATTAGACAAGGTCTACTATACGCTTCGTTAGGCTGATCGAGCTTACCCGATTAGACGAATGCGTTTACCTTGTCAGGTTAATCGGACTTTTCCAATTAGATAAGGTCTACTGTATGCTTCGTTAGGCTGATCGGGCATACCCGATTAGACGAATGCATTTACCTTGTCAGGCTGATTGGGCTTGCCCGACTAGCCTTCTGTCATTTCTGAACTGTGGTGGATGTCCCTAATTTACTATCCTTTATTCTTTATAATCGCATTATTCTATAATTATTGTATGTGTGTGAACCATTGGCCTAATGAGAGGTGATGCCTAATGGAAGGCGATCTCCATTTGCCTAATGAGAGGCATCCAGTTTGGCTCCTGTCGATGAGCGCCTAAAGAATGGCGAATCCGACGGTACTTTGGCTGTTGTCGATGAGCGCCTAAGGAATGGCGACTCCGACAGTATAAGATGTGCACATGAGACTATGAGACTATGGAATGAAAGGAGATAGATGCGTTGATCATGATTTATGTTCATGCTGCGATTATATTATCTGTTATTATATTGAATATATTGTATAGTAATTCCCACAGTGAGCCTGTTGCTTACTCACCCCCATAACATATCTTTTTCAAGTTGAGTTGTTGGTGGCGGTGACGATTGGACGAGTGTGGTCTTAATTAGTTTTGTGTGTGTTATGTTGCTGTGTTTTGGGTTTATAAACGTTGGATTGTTATTTGGTTGTTTATTTGAGACTGCTTATGATTGAGTTTGGTTATTGTCTCGATTTGTTGGAATGTGTTTTTGGGCAATGAGTTCCCATCAGCTTAAGATATGGCTTAAGCTAAGTAAAAAGGAAAGATTTGATTTCTGAGTAATGCCCGAAAGTGTTTTAAATCAAAAAATAATTTTTGAAAAATTCAAACTATTTCTGAAAACTTGGGGTTTTCTCTTGAAAAATAACGGAGCGTTACAGGTCAACCGCGACAGCGACTAGGCTTGAGGATCTCTCCGTTGACGTAGGACCTGGTGAGCTCTCCGTCGACATTGATGCGGCCTTGTCGACCACGTGCAAGGGCGTGTGGCCGCTCGCGTCGGGCTCACCGACGTGCTCTAACCTCCAGCCAAGTATTTCCTTCACGAAGTTGACGTGGCGAAGAATGGAGGCAACGCGCCGTCGAGAGCTGTAGAAGGCAGACACGAGACAGTGACCGGTGGCGGGATATCAACGGTGGTGGCTGGCTGTGGGACGATAAGCGGTGGTCAGGGGTGGTCTCAATCGTGCATGTGTGTAAACAGTGTGTGTGTGTGTGTGTGAGAGTAGTGTGTGTAAAGTGCATGAGAGACAATATGTGTACAGTGTATGTGCATTTATTGTGTGCACGTGTTGTGTGTGTATGTGTGTGTGTGTGTGTGTTGTGTGTGTCTGTTGTGTGTGTACATGTGTTGTGTGTGTGTGGGTGATGATATGGTGTGGGACCAAGTGGTGAGTGGGTTAGTTGGATGGTCATGGTAATGTTCAAATTACCCTTAATGAGTGTAATATTTTGACTTTTTTTATCCGTTGGATCATCCGAACTGATGGATAAGATGCATTCTTATTTCTTTCACTGAGCACATTTCTCACTTGAACCCAACCATTCTTATTACAAGTAAATGTCGTGTTTTCCAAAACATAATTTTACTGAATTATTATTGTTCGCATAAAATTGTAAATCTCATACGCAAGTGTCGACTTTGCTTATGGTAAATTACATGCAAGGTTGTTTTCCAAAAGACTAAATAATTAAAATAGCAAGTATTAGATTATGTTAGTCTCAACTTTATTTAGATGATTGTAGGCTACCTCTGTGTAGGCTTCCTAGATTCAACTATTTGGCTGTTTGACTATTCTAGCTAGGTTTTAGTTGTAATTATGTGATTTAGTTTTATAAAATTCTATCGTTTTGGGGGGGAAAAAGACGTTCAATCCGGAAACAACAAAAGTGTCCTATCTCCTAAGTATTTTGCACCATTTGTGAAAAACACAATATAATAACATGCCAATATACTGCATCATTTGTGTAAATAGAACGTACTAATGGATTATTTAAAGTTTTCCCTTCAATCCACCGATTTTCCTATTTGTTTTGGAAACTGTATGGTGTACATAAATTTCTCATTTATTCTGAAAAATGCTTGATGAATATAATTTTGGTATATAATGAAATGCTTGATCAATATAACTTTTGTATATATAACCACATAAGGTATGACTTATGGACTAGCAAAAGCAGGTGAAAGTTTCCATCATCAGCCGGAAACACCTGATTAGCCACGATAAAAGGATATAGACCAATGTGTAATGCCCGTTTCACTTTGGAATTTTATGAGGATTTCTATTATTATTATTATTATTATTATTATTATTATTTATATTTAATTGTTATTAATTGTCGAATATGATTTATTTGTCAAATTGTCTAATTGTTTAAATATTAATTAATTGCCTAATTGTCTAAATGTTATTATTTAATTAAAAATGTGTATTTGTATTTTTACTAATAATATTATTATTTTAAATGTGTATTATAAAAAAAATATATTATATCCGGTTATGTATTTATCGTTAGGGATGAAAACGGAAACGGTAATTTCCGATTACCGAGAATTGTTTTCGAAATTTTTTCGGATTTGGAGGCTAAACGGAAACGGTAACGGTAACCGGAAAAACGGAAATGAAAACGGTAAAAAAATTCGAAAATAAAAACGAAAACGGTTTAGCCCTTTTCCGATCGTTTTCGAAAATTACCGTATTTAAACGGTATTTTACCGTCGGTAATACCAGCCCAACTCATACTAGGCTCACTTTTAATTATAAAGCCCAATCCAAATCCCAAATGGGCCAAATGCCCAAATCCCCTTCAGCCCAGCCCTGTGCCCAAATCCTGAAATCCCCTTCACCCCTTTCGGTCTTCACTCTCGAAATCCTGAAATCCCCTTCAGCCCAACCCTGTCATCTCTTCCATCGGCCGACGGCCATCGCAATTCGCCGCGCCTGCTCGTCGTCACTCCCATCACCTGCTCGTCGCCGCCGCGCCCCACTCTCATCAACGTCGCAACCGCACCACCCGCTACAGGCTTCAGCTGCCGCCGCCTACCCCACTTTGAATTCACGCCAATAGTTATGGAGCCACCAGAAAAACCTGGACATCCTAGTCTTGTCACCGGAGCTCAGAAATCGGCGAAAGACTCCGGTAAGCTTCGTTTGATTTGTGCGATTTTGGTGAATCTGTTAGGGCTGCGATTTTGGTGAATCTGTTAGGGAAAATCTGTTTGTGCGAATAGTGTTAGCGACAATACTTAAAAACGTGAATAATTATAATGTTTGAGGTTCCTTCTTTCTTTCTTGAGTTGCAATATTAATAATTTCAAATATGTTGTCAATAATAATAGAATATGCTGACAGATTTCAGTGTTGTTTCAATATTTCACAAGAATGAAGAGTCAAGTAAATATTTTGCACGCAAGGAAAAATGAAGATATGAGTTAGAGAAATTATGATTTGAATTTATTTTACAATTTACAAATGTTGCATCATCTCTTTTCATATAGTTCTAGTGTGAAGATAATGATTTCAATTCTTTTCAGGCCTTTTTATTATTCTTTTCGTGGAATATTTGTATGAGTGTTAAAATATTTTTCCATTACATATTGTAGGATGAATTCTCCAAAATGGGACGTGATGACAATGTGGCAATTGATAATGATGATTTGCCTGAGATTCAGTTGTAGGCATACGACAACTGCTGTGAAGGACAAGTTTATATATTATGTTTAACTCCCATCATTGTTTTAGTGATTTGTGTTTTGAATTCTGGATTTCGTTTGTTGTGGTTTTTTTGTGGATTTGGTGGTTCTATGGTTGATTTCTCACCTAATTGCTCCCATTTCATGTTTCAAATTTCAATTACTACTATTATTCCATGAGAATTTGATGGACAAGTCACAATTCAATTGCTAGTTATTGGAATTTGTATGGATTTTGTTATAGCAAATGGTGTGGATTTTAATTTGGATTTTGCCACTATTATGCCGTGAGAATATTTCAATTTATGTTTTAATGCTATATTTTATAATGTGGTGTGTTTATCGTTTTTCAAATACCGTTTTAATATATTTCGATCGTTATCGATGTACTTTCGATCGGATAGTTTCGTTTTCGATATTACCGGAATACCGATGTCGTTTTCGTTTCCGACATTATCGTATCATTTTCGTTTTCGAGAAAAAAATATGAAAGTGGAAATGGTTGAGCCCTATGCCGATCGTTCTCGATCGTTTTCATCCCTATTTATCGTGCGATTTAATTTACGAGCCGATACGATTTAATCTATCAGGCCCGAGGAAAACGAAAGCTGAGCCCGAGAGCTAGGCCGAATCGTTTCTTTGAACCCGCGAGCCCGTAACCGAACCAGCCCCAAACCCGGTCCGCCCGACCCGCGTGTGTGTGTTAAGTATGTCTTGTGGGGAAAGACAATAACCCTAAGATATTATATTTTGCCGTTCGTTTTTCCTGAGAAAGCAGTAGCGCCGCAGCCTTTTTCTCTGTATCTCTCACCACGCGTTTTGAGCAGATCAAAACCGATCCCAAAAACTCTCATCGTCTTCACCCTCGCAATCTCATCTCTCCCTCTCATCCTTTTCGCCTTCACCATCATCGCAGCATCTCCATCCTCATCGTCCTCCCATCTCCCTCTCGCCATCTCGCCATTGCCGCCTTCGTCTCAGGAAGTCCGGCGACCTCCTCCTGTAACACCACCGCGACCCTCCTCCACGGCCAGTCACCCTTCCGGCGAGTCCTTCTTCCTCGCGAGATCACTGCTGTCGTCCTCCTTCACGCACGGGAACTCAGATCACCCTTCGCTGGCCACTCGCAGACGCCCACCATCTCCGAGCACCCTCCTCCGCCGCCTGCAACATCACCACCGCGAGCCCCCTCAGCAACTCGCGCCATTAGCGGCGACCTCGACGGATTCCGGCGACTCCCTCCCGTCGAGAACCAGCCATTCCCGACCCCAGCAGCAGCGACGAAATTCTGCTCCGTCGCGAGCCTCCACGTGAACCAACACCGGGGACGAGAAGCGAGTTCGTCACCTCCGCTGCCAGTCATCTCTCCGTCAATCAGTTGCGGCCCGTAACCGAGAAGTATCCCCCTCGATCACTCGATTTCCGGCGAGTCCTGACCGTGCTCCTCCTCTGCGAGAAACCACCGCCCTCGCTGCCCCTCTCCCGTTTGCTGCAAGTTCATTCGACGAAGTTCAGCAGCCCGTTTTCCGGCGATTCCCGAACGCAGCAACCGCCCGAGCTGGATTTGAACCAGCGTAGACATATTGCATTTTTTCAGATGCTATCCAATACGTCGGAAAGAAGAAGAAGAAGATAGGACTTGGGAGCTCTTCCTAGCCTTGACGGGCCAGACACGAGATAGATCTTCCAATCATTAATCATTTTATATAGTAGTCAAATAGATACGTTTATCCTTCATCCTTTCTGTGGTTCTTACTCAGGGAATCTTTGGCTTAGTTTATGATTTTTTATTGAATAAATAATGAATTTGAACCGGCGAATCACTACGATATTATATCGTAGACCTATTTTGAGTTATGGACACACAAGGCCAAAACATGTGTGCCGGGCGTGCGACCCATCAACCTACTAGCAATGGGGGAGAAAACATAGCATGTCGCAATAAAAGTTTTTTATCTATTATTATAGACAATCCCATCTATATTCGTTTATTGATAAGTTATCTTGAATTCAAGATAAGCCGCTATGGTGAAATTGGTAGACACGCTGGCCCCGGGAGCATTGCAAGAGAAATCATAGAGAATGATCGAATCTTCAGACGCCCCGAACATACTGCCACAAGCCCCTTTGACGTCTCTTTCTGAACATCAAATAATTCTCCCCAAGAGACAGGGGGCTGATCGCCTACCCAAGAGCCGAAAAGAAAAACTTTTTTTTGATTGGATTTGGTCCATTATAGAGAAGATATCTAATATATATTTTAGAAGAAAACTCTTCAGAGCGGAGTAGAGCAGTTTGGTAGCTCGCAAGGCTCATAACCTTGAGGTCGCGGGTTCAAATCCCAGATACAAGACTGCCACTTTTGTCTCTTTCGCCTTTCTTTTTTGAGTGGAGGGCGCCGGATAAGAACATACTTTGGATTGAACTCGTGGGGAGTACTTCTTAATCCTTTCTAAGAGCCCTCACAGCCCAGGCACAACGACGCAATTATCAGGGGCGCGTTTTTTGCATATGGATCTCCCCTCCCGAACTATTTATCCAGACGATCGAGTCGCCACTGCTCCTTCTTGCTGCGAGACGAAGCTTGCCGTCGAGCCTCGAGCCTTCTTTGTGTGCCGTTCGTTCACCTTCGTTTCGTTCGAACGTTTATTCCCGAGAACGGTACAAGGCTTGACCCGTCTCGTTAAATTTTATGTGATATTTCATGTGTTCGATTATGTGAGTTGCTGAACGTATTTGTTTGACGTGTTATCCGAACCATATGTGCTAATATATGTTGATGGATTATTGTTAAATAAATAATTGTGAGGATGTTGAAGTATAATTGCAAATTTGATATCAAAGTGATTGCCGTCACTTTGAATTATTGTCGAACTGAATATATGTGGTTCGTTTCATGGAAATTGTAGAGTTATAGGTACTTGGAATTGTCCTTGATCTATTAGTTTTGGTTTGAGGTCGTTTCGAGTTATATATAAGGAGTTATGATTTTTCAAAACCGAGCATGCTGCTGAATCGTAATAAATTCACCATAAAACGAGTCGTTATCCGTTTGTGCTGAATTTTTGATATGTTGTGCCACTGATTATGTGGAATATGTGTGCCAAGCCTCGGATTTTATTTCTGAGTTTTTGGTGTGCAAATGCTTAAAACGGTTTCTGTGCAGAAACTTGTAAAATTCATTAAAAATCGTACACTTAGAATTTTGAGCTGAAACTTTCAGGAACATGTTATTTTGTGATGGTTTAGGTTTTGTAAAAACTTCAAACTGAAAATCGAAGTGTAGCTATGCGAACTATTAGACGCTGATTTTAGCGTTGTTTTTGCCTTAATTACTTAAAAATGTTCCCGGATGAATTTAGGGCTGAAACTTGGTGAGTTTATGTGTTTTTGCATGTTTTATTATGTGGTAAAGGTTCAGGTTGATTGGCTGAGCCTAACTCCTGATCCCGAATTTTGTTTATTTGTAGTCTAAATATTCGGTTATCGGTTGGTTAGGTTCGGATAGGATTTATTTAATGTTGGTATGATTTATGTGAATTATATGAAGTATTTGAGTTGTGTCCAGGTCTGGTAGTCACTCCATAGTACCTAACTCGGTCAAGGAATCCACGAGTCACTTGGTCGATATGATTTCGGCTAAGTATATGTGCCTTATGTGTTGTTTTGTACTGGGCAGTCAATGATGGGTTCTTATAAATTGTTGTAGGTCCTTCGAGCTGAACTCGTGCCGTAATTCCTTCAACTTTGTGTTTGGCTATACCTCTTGCTATCCAGGTGGGTTTTATTTGAAAAGTTTCTATGCATTAATTAATTGTTATTGTTGTGGTATGATCAAAGTATGCATGTGAACCATGTAGCCTTCAATGTGAGTCATATTGGCCGTCGAACGGTTATCCCCGTAGCTATAGAACGTACCCGATGGGGTGTCTCCTTTATTTATGTATGGCAGTCATGGCGTGAGCCTTGGCTGGTGATTCTCGATGTAAGTCCGAAGGGATGTTTCCGGGCATTCGGGGTGGATTTACTCCTACTGTCTGGGCATCGAATGTAAGGCCCGCGGGGGTTTTCGATACGTGTATCAGCAGTGGTCTATTGGTATAGGTGTGCACATGAGAGTTGACTCTGGGAAGGAGATGGGATATAAATTGATTTGTGTTCATACTACGGCCATACCTGCTTTATTTTATGAAATTGAACATTAATTATTGCATAGTGGTGAGCACCTCGATTTTCTATTGTTCTCATCCCCACCTGCTCTGATTAGTATTGCGGGCACGACAGAGGGAGGCGAGTGGTGGTCATGTTATTGATTATTTTCGCTGCTTAAATTGTTTAATATGATTTATGCATTCCTGACTTATGTCGAGTACTGGATTATCGATAGGGAGTGTACTCCCTAGTATTATGGATTTGATGAACCCAGTTTTGAGAGTTGATGTCATTTATGAACCCGGTTTGGGTATTGACTATTTATGGTTATTGAACCCGGTTTGGGTGTTGATTATTTATGAATATTGAACTCGTTGGAAATTGCATATGTGACATTGTTGGAATTATTTTTTGGAAATTGAGTAGCGCCTCAAGTGGTTTGAAATAAATTTTGAAAAATTTATTCTAAATTTCGGCAAATAAAAGTGAGGCGGAACACAATGCTTTAAATACCGTACCGTACCGGCCGGTATTATCGGTAATACCGGATATCGGTGGTTCGACCGGTACGGTTATACTCTAAATACCGTTTTGGCCAAAATACCGGTTTATACCGGAAAACACCAGTTTTACCGACAAATACCGGCCAAAATATCTGCCAAAATACCGGTTTATGCCAATTTTTTTTAAAAACAATATTTTTTAATATATTTTCATTAATTTATTTATATAAATTGAAAGTTCTATACATAATTTTAATATATTTACATTGTTATTAGATGTTAATTAATTTTAGTATTAGTTAAAGTTAGTTTTGTACATTATTTATATTATAATAATAAATTCATTTAATATTTATTGAAACCAATAAATAGACGGTAATATGGGTTGAACCGCGTACCGTTGGCTCGTCCGATATGCTTACCGATACGGTATTTAAAACACTGATATGGACAGCGATTTATGATTGACTGAACAGAGAAAAATATTAATAAGTCTATATATACAAGATGCGTGCCCTTGTCCATCAAAGAGTTTGTTGGGCATCCACATTTTCAGTTACATAAGCATAATTTTATTACAACTACAATTCCCTTTTGTTCACTTCCTTCTTTTTATATGAAAGTAAACTATCAACTACAGTTCTTATTCTTCAATAATGCTAAGGAACCAACAATTAGCTCCTTAGCATTACCTTCCTTTTCTATGGTCTTTCTTAATACACAAAAACCTGGATCTCTCATACAATAGTACCTCAAATTCAAATAATTTATTCTACTAGAAATTCTAAATATTCAAAGATTTAACCCAGTTGACTCTCAATGATTCTCAAGTTAAAAGGAGAAACAAATAACTTGTAAATGACTTCAGTAGAATCTAAAATTCTTTTTCAAAACCCAAGAGATATCGGGAATTCAACACAAGCAATATCAACCCAATCTTCTTGGAGTCTTATACAAACTGGTTACAAGGCTTAAGCTCAAGGGTTCCATTACATCAACATTTGCGAATATTCAAACTCCAAGCCCGGACAAAATCAATGAACCAAGCATTCAATTTAACCAGGACATACACGAAATACAGCAAAATGGCAACTGATATCTAAGAATCAGCAATGGTAACTTCCACTTCAACACCAGGTTCAATGGTGATTGAAGTTATTTGCTTCACAACATCAGGGGAGCTAAAAAGGTCGATCACACGCTTGTGTACTCGAAGCTCAAACCTATCCCATGTATTAGTTCCTAAAGACCAAAATTCACCATAAATAAAAATTTCAATACACTTGAACAAGGAAAAATAATCCCAACTCTAGCTAAAATATATGAAATTTACATATAACAGTTAAAGCATGCAAAATAAATCATTCAGCACACAATTCTGAAGTAATATAAAGAGAATATGCTAGAATAAAAGAATGAACGGAAAATTGAGTCCGCAATTTTCAGCTTACAACAAAGGGCATTTCAGGGCAGATTTAAGAGTAATAGATTCGTAGTGGAACACCAATTACGTCAATTTTCACAAGTAAAAGATGAAGTCAACAGAGTGTCCACCTAATGGTTTTAATGTAAGAAACTACCATTAGAACAGAGACCCTATCATCAGTAATTTATACACCATTACATGGACAAACACGCATGTGGTAGGTATACCTTCATCATGAATGCAAGAACAGTATAAAGTGAATATTTACATATGCAAAAAGTATTACATTTACATATATATAATGTCATATACTACATTTTCACATGTATTGTAGTTATCATACCTTCACCACATGGTGATTTCCGGGTAGTAATATGAAGAACTTTGGTTGGCATTCTCACTGGTCCCTTCACCTTGAGTCTTTTGTCCTTGGCACCACGTATTAAGTCAGCACAAACTGTTCCCAAATTATCAAGTCAATACCTCAAAGTTCTATCGAAATTTCTAGTATTCAGATATAACTGTGTGGATCCCTAGGGATGAACAGAACACAAAATGAAGTAAATCTACCTCATTCAAGTACTAATCCTCCAAGTTTTGTTAAAGTCTCATCTTTCAAAACTAAGGTATGAAGGTATATATACTCAGTCAGTTGTTGAAATGCCACGTAACCAGCACAAATTTTTCAATCATAGTCGCCATAGAAACTTAATCTGTAAAGTGGCTATTGTAAACTCAACTTGTGCTATTATGAAAAGTTGGCATATCAAGAAATAGATGATATTCTTAATCGCTCAGAAAAAGCCAGATGCCCTTAACTAATGCCACAATTAGTATGATCGTGAAGACAGAAATTTTCATCAGCATATAAGTAAGAAGGCACATCATCTATTTCCCTATTGACAACCTAATATCAAATGTAATACATTGAGCATCCACGGCTAATAACAGTTTATAATCTGATGCATGCAGTCAAAAACCGAAGACAAACTACCCGAACATCTGAAATTGCAATTGGCATCCCAAACTATTTATGTTCTTTTTCTTTAACACTCAAGCAGCAAGAACGTGTAGACACTCCTAACAACAATATGGGAGAAATGAAAACAGATCAAAAACCACAGGATATTCAAACTCCGATTTAACCATAAATGTTTTACCTTTCTCGAGATTTTTCACATTCTTCGAGGACAGAGTGATGCGGATCTTGTGAAGCTGCTCCTGAGGGTCTTCGAGTCCCGGTTTTGTCGGCTTCATAGCAGCGTACGCCATTTCTGCCCCTGCTCGCAAGGAAATAAGCATAAGCACAAACAAAATCAATTATGAGATAAAGTAAAACATGAATTGGAAAGACTCTAACGGAGAAAGGTCAAGTAAGAGCGGCGACTGCGGAGCTGAGGGACTGAAAGCTTCTAGGGTGGACGACTGCTTGGGGCTAAATGAGACGAAAGCCGATTTTTCAATTGGGTTTATATATCTAGGGCTAGGGTTTTATATTTAGAATAATTGCGATGCGATCCAGAACTCTTGCATAACCATAAAACCAACCAATAATCTTCGAATTTTTTACCAAAAAAATAAATAAAGTGGACAAAAAAAAAGAAGTGGACCGAAATAAAAACCACGTATTCACTGAATACGTTTTTAATTATTTTTAATTGTAAAACGTATTTACGTAATACGTCTTCTATTATAAACCGTATTCACGGAATACAGTTTTTATAAAAAATATTAGTCAACTTAATTAATGTAATTAACTTAATTAAAATATAGAAAAAAGTGTTAACGAAATACGTTTTCAATTAGAAAAAATAAAAAACGTAATGCCTAAATACGTTTTCAAATTAAAATAATTTTATATTGATTTTTTAATCATACAACGTATTTCACAAATACGTTTTCCAAATAAAATTAATATTTACTATTATTGCAAATGATATTTTTAGAAAAAAAAAATTAAAATATAATATGTATTTTGCAAATACGGTTTTTGTGAAAAAATGGAAAATGTATTGCCTTAATACGTTTTTAAATTAAAATTAATTTTATATTTATTTTTTAATTATAAAACGTATTTCACAAATACGTTTTACAAATAAAATTAATTTTTACTATTATTGAAAATAATATTTTTAGAAAAAAAAATTAAAATATAAAACATATTTTGCAAATACGTTTTTTGTGAAATTTTGCCCCGAATTGATATTGCTGCCCTAATTTTAGCCCTAAATTTTCAAAGAAAACGTATTGTTGAAATACGTTTTTTGAACAAACAATATATTCAAAACGACATAATGCGGTTTATACATACAATCCAATCATTCAAAATAAACATAAAAATCACGAATTCAACACAACTAACTAGGAGGAGTGTATGGAACTTTAGTCTTGCGCGGTCTGGACCCCCTCCGAGTATATACCATGTGAGAAGAAGATGAAGGTTGAGGTGTGAGAAGCGTGTCCGTTTGAAAAGTCTGCTCATTTTCATCTTCTTCATCTGAGTAATTCAATTGAAAAAAGAAATCATAAATTGGACTTGAAAAAAAAATGAAATTGTTAATTTAAAAATCTCACCTTGTTGAGGCTCGGTCTGCTCAGGTTGAAGCTCGGGCTGCTCAGGTTGGAGGTGTTGGGGGGACGGCTGAGCGCGGGGACGGGCCCGAGGTCTTCTACCCCCACCAATGTTCGGTGCGTGTCGATGTCTGGTCGTGTGTGATTGTGTCCTCATGGGGGGAATGTATTCGTCCTGGGAGAAAACTTGACTGGACGGCCCCCCATGTGGAACACCCTGGCCCCCAACAGTCAGAGAAGATAAGGCAAAGTTGTATGACTGTTGGAAGTCGGTCTGCGCTTCTTGAGGGATTTGAGGCATTAATAGTTGAATGTCGAATAATGCGCCATAAACCCCTTGTAGTGCAGATGTCTGTAAATAAAATTCATAATAATTAGTATATGAAACACAAAAAAAAATAAAATAATAATAATAATAATAATAGTAATAATAATAATAATCATAATAATAATAATAATAATAATAATAATAATAATAATAATAATAATAATAATAAACATAAATAATGAACACTTACCAGACAGCCTAACCGCTCGGCAAGTGGCTGATAACCGCCCGCCTGCTGGAACACCGGGTAATTGGCAGGGTTATTGATGAATCTCAGAGTCCTGGTGTGAAAACCATTCAAGGTGACCATGCTCTGGCTGCAGATAGTCGTACACAGGGGCAACTGGGAGGAGACGTTGTTCTATTTCTTCGGTCCATGAGCTCAGAAACGGCACATGGAATGCGGCCCAGTCATAAAACGCCCTCCCAGTCATCCCCTGACCTTTGTGGTGTGTGTCCCAGTCTCGCTCATCCCAAATGATCGGATCTTGGGGGATGGACTGGCGACACCCAAATTGACGGAGGACTCTGTCAGGCAGGTGTACCTCCCGGGTGTTCCAACTGAAAATCCACCCTCGGTACATCCAAAGTTGTGGATCTCTTGAGCACACCTCCGGGAGAGTATCATTCTCCAGGTGTTGTCGATAGGGCTGCCAATCGAACTGTAAAAAAAATAACAATTGAATTAGTAATTAAGTTATTACAAAATTATAAGCAAAAAAAGAAAGATAAATCAAATAATAGGAATTAAGAATATTACATCATACTCTCCCAGCCCTGTCAACTGATCCCGGTAGGCGGCCAATGTATTGGCTATGTTGGACCTCTTCTTCGGTCCCACCCACCTTAAAAAAATCACAGAAAAAAAAAAGTTTGTAATCACAAAATTTGATAATGAAAATAATGTACGGATTAAATAAAAATAACGGTGATTACCTCGCTCCCAATGGACAACCAGGCAGATTATCAAACACACTGGCTTTCACTATTGGGCGAATACGAGGGATATGCTCCCATGCCCAAACCTACACAAATAGATATTAATTTTGGTATTAGGTATTAGTCGAAGTAAGAAAAAATAAAATATTAAATTTTCAAATAACAATTAAATAAATTTACCTCGATCAATTGAACGCAGTTCTTCATCCACTTCTCCTTGGCCTTGTACGAGGTTGACAACGCTCTATACACTCCGGCCAAGAGCGCTGAACCCCAGCTGTACCACTTAACAGCATGTATGTCCTGCAGCAGGTCGAGCCAGTAAAGTGGGACGCCATTTGCCCGCTGGTCGGGGAAGATGAAGGACCCAATGCACCAGAAGATAAGGCCCCTCGCCCTCTGCTCGTACACGATGTCCGGTTGTCCTTCTTGCAACACACGGTTGCATTCCTCCTCTAACCCTCCATCATTCAGATACTGGCCTTTAATGTCCCAAGACTTTGGATCTTGGGCTGCTTGCTCTTTCTCGGTGGTGGGAGGATCCTGAGAGTGGTTTTCCATATTAAAAACTATATAATTGAGTTGACATATATTTAAAAAAAATTCTATGAAAAAATATACCTGAACATAGGGCTCGTACCCTAGCAAGTCCTTGCATCTCTCTCGCCACTGTACGGGTGATAGATCTCTAGTCACTCCCACAACAGCAGCTCCAATGATTGGCAGGCCGAACAGGACTTGTACGTCCTGGAGCATGATGGTGGCCTCGCCGAAATCGAAATGGAAGGTATTCGTCTCTGGGCGCCACCTCTCCACGAGAGCAGTAATGAGGCTGTTGTCGGCTTGGATTCGACCCATTAGAAACAAGGGTCTGAAACCAGTCTGGTTGATGACCTCCTAAACCGATCGTGGCTGGCTTGACAAAGACGCCCAGAACTGACTGTCGAAACGGCGGTTTGTGAGCGCCGTGTCACGAGCTCCCGGCGCATTATCAAATACCGCCTGTGACCGGTGGCGGTACTGGAGATATAGAAGAGTGTCATCCCTCGGACCGGGATGGACACTGTACTGTTGAGGCTGTGAGGAAGACGATGAAGCCATTTATCTACAAACAATACAAAAATATGTTATATCATGATTAAGATTATTTATTAGAAAACATAGCTCATTTCAAAAATAAACAAGGCCCCAACTTATTTAAAATCCGACTTATCAATCGATTAAGACATTTATTCCGACTATCTAACGGTAGGGAAATAAAAAATTCTCATAGTTTCGTAATATGCTAACATCAAGAGTCCAACATGAACATATATGTATATAACTCACAACTCAAAGGATTTAATTCAACTCAATTAAATCCAAATTTCATTCTCAACTCATTATATCAAGTCAATTCACCTTAGCAAATAATTTATATTCATCAATATAATTCATAAAAATATAGAGAATGTATAGCCATTTTAGCTTGATCCGTAATAAACTAATCGGCTCGAAAGAATGAAAATCGAGTCCTAATTCCAAAAAATCGAAGTTCACACAATACTTCACACAATACTTCACAAACTAGTTCACACAATAGTACACACAATAGTTCACAATTTTACAATTTCACAATTTCACAATTTCGACAACATAGTATATCAAGTCCTAATTAGAAGTTCTAAATCGAAACCCTAACGTCCTAATTTCGAAAATTCTCTAATTCTAATCAACCCCTAACTCCCTAAAACATCAAATTTTAATGAAACCCTAACTTAAAAACATATTATGAAAATTCGAATTTATTGAAAAAATTAAAAAAAATTTAGGCCATTTACTTAAATCACGAGTTCGATTTGCAGTTGAGGTGGTGGTGCGGCGGCGGTGGCGCGGCGTGCGTTTTGCAGTCGNTTTTTGCTGTGTTTCTGTGTCTCTTGCTCGCTGCTCTCGTCTCTGTGAAGAAGACTAGCCCGTTTTTTTTTTGTTATATCTTACAGAAAACGTATTCAGCAAATACGGTTTCTGTAAGATTTAGTTGAAAACCGTATTTGCTGAATACAGTTTATTAAAAAAAAATTGTAAAAAATGGTAGGAGGATCCCAGATTCGAGACTCGAACCCGGGTAGACGAGTCCGTTATCTCTGGGCGCACCTCCTTACCATTAGACCGCTAGGCTATCGCATTTATATTTGCGCAAAATTTATTCTTATCCTTCAGTGTTAAGATTTTTAATATATAGTATATTATATAATTTATATAAATATGAATATATAACATATAAAGTATAATATATAATTATAACATATAACATGTAAAGTATAAGATATAAACTATAAACAATAAACTATAACATATAAGATATAAACTATATGTTATATGTTATATTGTAACGCCTCGTTTTATTTTAAAGAATTTACCTAATTTTTTTATAAAAATCAGAGTTATTTTTTTTTTTCACAAAATCACATGATAGGCAACTGAAATATCTACAGCTTTGTTGAATATCACATTGGCAAATAATCACATATTCAATGAGTTAAAATGCAAAACATATGATTCAGTAAATCTGTCAAAACTAGTATAATGAACATGGACAGTATCTCAGTTTTTAACCTTTATCTTGAGCTACAGACCTCTAAATGATATGGTTCAAGTCTCAAATTAAACCTTAGG